AATTTTATGATCTTATCTTAAAATTACATGTGAATTGTAGTTTCTACTCCACAAATCTATCTTTATATAAAAACTAGTGGCCCAGTGCACGAAATTCTTGCACAGGAGGGAGGGTGTCCCTCGGCCCAGCCTGCACCCTCTCTAATCTGGGACCCCTCGGGGGATATCCGACTGCCGGTTTAGGCCAGATCCCTGTGGGTATCTGGCAGTCGGACATCCCTCTCACAATCTGGGACCTCTGGCTCCTAATTGCTTACCTGCCTGCCGGCCTGATGGCCCCCATCTGCCCCCCGCCGCCAGTCTGATTGACCCCACCTGCTCCCCCCTGCCAGCCAGCATGCCCCCTACTGCCCCCTCTGCCAGCCAGCTTACCCCCAACTGCCCCCCCTGCCGACGTGATCGCCCCCAACTGCCTCCCCCTGCTGGCCTGATCTCCCCCACCTGCCCCCTTTGCCAGCCTGCTCACCTCCAACTGCCCCCCTCTGCCAGCCAGCTCACCCCCAACTGCCCCCCCTGCCAGCCTGCTCACCCCTAACTGCCCCCCTCCCCCGCCGGCCTGCTTGCCTCCAACTGCCCCCCTGTGCCAGCCAGCTCGCCCCCAACTGCCCCCCCTGCTGGCATGGTTGCCCCCAAATGCCCCCCCCCCCCCCGCCAACCTGATTGCCCCTAACCACCTCTGCCTTGGCCCCACCACCATGGCTTTGTCCGGAAGGACATCCGGAAGGTCTCCCGGTCTAATTAGCATATTACACTTTTATTAGTATAATTATTTCCTCCCCAGATCTTCTAAGAAGTGATGTTCCTGAAAGATGTATCATGTTTATCCTATGGACGTGCATGTCCCATATAGCTGTGCCCTCACAAGAACATGAAAGAGCATAAGCCTACAGAATGAAATCCAAATCTCTTCCATGTACTCAAGGACTTTAATAATCTGAACCCTAGTTACCTCTTTAATCATTTCCTGCCCAACACAAACCCTCAGCTCTAATAAAAATTACCTACTTTTAAACATTCTCTATATACTTTCTTAATGACTTTCCATTGCCTAGAATGCCTCCCAGACCTTTCTGCTTGGCTAGGTTCTATTTATACCTCAAGTTAGAGATAATGTCACTTTTCCACAACTATCTAGTAAATGGAGGCTCCTTCCTCTGCAACCTTGCAGCATTACTATTTGTACCCTTCAACTGACACTTAAATAAAGATAAGACAGAAAAGTAAATCTGACAAACATAATAATATAAATTGTGAGAAAAAGTAATAAAAACTCTAAGAGCAAAGATAGTCAATCTACTTGATTTTAGTGAATTACTGAAATTCCCTCTTTTACCTGCAGTCTTGCTTCCCAGTTTCATGCTCTACCATGGTCCAAAAATATTAGATGGAAAATTTCAGAAATAAACAATTCACAAGGGTTTTCTGTTTTAATTTACAAGTTTTAAATTGTGCACTCTCTTGAATAGCATGGTGAAATATCGCATTGTCCCACTTCATCCTGTTAAGATATGAATATCCCTTTGACCAACATCTCCAAGCTGTAGATGCTACATACTCAATAGTCACTTAGTAGCTGCCTAGGTGATCAGATCAACTGTAGTAGATGACAGCGCTTGTGTTCAAGTAAACCTTATTTTGCTTAATAACGGTCTCTAAAGCACAAGAATAGTGATGCAGGCAATTAGGATAAGCCAAAGAGAAGCCTTAAAGTATTGCTTTAAGTGGAAGGTGAACCTTCTAGACTTAGTAAGGAAAGAAAAAACATCATATTCCTTGGCTGCTAAATCTACAGTAAGAACAAATCTTCTAACCGTGAAATGGTGAAGAAGAAAAAAGAAGCTCGTGCTAGTTTTGCTGTCACACCTCAAACTGCCAAAGTTACAGCCCAGTGCATACTGCTTAGATAAGATGAAAAGGGCATTAAATTTGTTGGTAGAAGACATGACATCATCATGATCCTCCTGATGTACTATCAGAAGGTCAGTAGTAGCTTAACACTACATCACAATGCCTACATCATTCACCTCACTTCATCTCATCATGTAGGCATTTGTATCATCTCACAACATCACAAAAGAGTGAGTACAGTAAGATATTTTTAGACAGAGAGAGATACCACATTCACGTAACTTTTAATACAATCTACTGACATAATTATTCTATTTTACTATTAGTTGTTGTTAATCTCTTACTGTACCTAATTTACAAATTAAACTTTATAATAGGTATGTATGTATAGGAAAAAACATAGTACAATATAGCAGGTCCTCAAATAACATCATTTCATTTAACATCATTTTATTCTAACACTGATGAGATGCTGTAGAAACTTAACTCTTGTTTATATCTATTAGGCTATGGTAGAGATGGTTCTGCTACATGTCATTTCACTTAAAGTCAAAGAACCTATCCATGGCATTAAGTGAGGATTTTTACAATATAGAGTTTGTCACTCCCAGGGGTTTTAGGCATCCTTTGGGGTCTTGGAACACATCCCTGCAAATACAGGGAGACTACTGTATTGCAAAATTTCTACACCAAGAGTTTACTTTGCACCAGTTTGAATTTTACTGAAAGCAAGTATACTCACTTCCTCTTTCAGGGTTACCTATTTCAGCACAATGTATTTACCCACTCTCTCTCATCCTAGAGTCAGCATGTTTTCATGCCTGTATCTTTCCTTCCTAATAGTGTGACTCATGGAAATCACTCATTAACCAAAAAGGTACTCCTTAACCAGTATTTATTCAGTACCTCCAACTTGCCTCTTTTATGAAACCTATCCCAAATATATATGGCTACATATTCCACCTTCTGTTATAGGATAATCAAATTTCCTTGATTTTCCCATCACTAACAACCGCAAGCATTGCATGTATGCATGTACTATCAAGCGACCATCCAACACAACAGTTTTCAAAATTGAAAAGGGACCCAATAGTTGGCCTTTTTATCAAAGTCCAAAGTGTTCTCATGGAAAATAGACTAGGTCAAAATTACTCAATCTGTGTGAAATGTGCAGTTCAAGGTCATGAAGGTAGGCTTAACTATCTCCCACAATAAGCCTTTATAAAATAAGGTTTTAATGACCTTTTTAAAAATATAAAATCAAGCATTCCATCTCAAACATAAAAACTACTTTTATAAATTCATATCTGTAGACTCTAAATCCCACCCTTAGACAAGTGTCTAGTTTCCAGTTTCTTAATTCATTGAATAAATATTTATTATGTGCTTTTGGTGTGCTAGCATACTGTGCTAGATGCTGAAGATAAAGCTGTAAACAAAACAGACAAGTCCCTGGCATTTACAGTAATTACATTCTAATGACAAAGAAAAAATGATCCCATAACTACATATAATGTCAGATAATGATAAACACAATAAGGGTAAAGAGCGAGAGGAGGGAAGCAGTGGATCATTTTAGGTAGGGTGATGAGAGTAAGCTTCTCTAAGAAGTGACCTTTAAGAGATATATGTTTGAAAAAGGAACCAAGCCATGCAGAAATCTGGGGGAAAACGACAGGCAAAGAAAACAAATAGAAAGCCTTACGCAGAATTGAATTTTGTTTGTACAAGGATGAACAAAAAGGCCATTGAGGCTAAAATGAAGCAAGCAAAGCAGAGATTAGAGGGACATGAAGTTAAAGAAAGGCAGAAGTCAGATACGTAGAGTCTTATAGACAATTACAAAAAATACTTCTTTTTTTGCTTATAATAGAAACAACTAGAGGGTTTTAGAAAGAGGAATGAATGATCTGGTTTTTAACTTTTAAAAACCTCTCTGACTGCAATGTTGAGAGTTGACTAAGGCAGGAGTAGAAATAAGATGATCAAATTAAAAAGGTACAACAAAATTCAAGATTAGCAGCTATCCAATATAATAGCCCCTAGTCCTACGTGGCTCTTTAGCATCTGAAATGAGAAGTGCTTTAAAAGTAAAATGCACCTCAGATTTTGAAGACTTTAGTAGGAGAGAAAAGAAGTAAGATCTTTCAATAATTTTTACATTTAGTACATGTCAAAATGATATGTTAGGTATACTGGGTTAAACAACAAATAATTAAAATGAATTTCACTTGTTTCTTTTTATTTTTTTAATGTAGCAACTATAAAATTTTAAATTACAAATGTGGTTAAGATTATATTTCTATTTGACAATGCTGACCTACATGGTGACTTTGACTGAGTTTTAGAGGTGGAGGACATAAAAAATACTAGATTTGGGATACATTTAAAAATTAAAGCCTATAAAACTTGTTCTAGGAGTAAATGGAGGAGTAAGAAAAGAAGGGAAATCATTTTGATTCCCAAAATTTTGGCCTCAGGAACTGGGTAAATGGTGAAATATGCTAAGATGGGGAAGTGTGCATTAGAATCTTATGTCTGAGCTGCCCTGTTGTATATCCCAACAGACATATCAAGTCATGGTCTCAGCATTCACAAAATGTGGAGAGCATCATTCATAAATGGTACCCCTGGAGTTATGTAGTGTTCAGCCTAAATAGCTTAGCCAATAATCTCGTGTCAGGTATTCTCTAAATAGTATATTTACCAAATACTGTTATTGTTAGAACATAGTTTAGGCACATAAACTTGATTCATATGTAATGCTAGATTCTGTTAATAAGACCATTTGAGAAAAAATAGGAACTAGGAGTTCAAATGTTTTAAACTAACAGCCCACGATTCAAGTGCTAGTTCCACCATACTCAAGTATACTTAACCTCTTGATCTCTGTTTATTCACTCCTAAAATGAAGGTAACACATACCTCAAGTTATGAGAATTAAATAAGATAATGTATGTAAGATAATTAAGATTTTATCTGGGACACAGTAAAAGCTTCATACATTACAGCTATTAATATAGTCATGTGATAAAAAATGGAACAAGTAACAAAGCTACACAAGATTTTTGAAGAGTTTCATTCTAGTTCTATATTACTATTAGAATATACATTATCTTATTTCAAAATTTTCCCAAATTAAAATGTATTACCTGTAAGTAGTGTTTGGAACATAGACATCCCTAGCAGGAAACTCCAAAATTTCTCTGGTAGGTCTAACTCTACTGTCAGGGTAAAGCTTCACCTGAAGCAGCTCTGGGGTTAGGCAATAATGAGGATTTTCAGGTGCCGGAGAAATGTCTATCTTCAGCTGAGCTGCATATAAAAATATATTGTAAAAACAATGTAAACATAATAAATAAAAACTTTATGTTGAAAATGTTTTTGAATGAATTTAGATCATATTTTTGCAAGAAGTCTGGAAAGAAACCAAATTATTATTGTCTCAGTCCTCTAAATCACTTCATTTTGGCAAGTCTCAAAGGTATAAATTCCTGAGACACACATAAATACATGTAAAATACTGAATGAATGAATAAATGAATGAATGAAAAAGAATCAGCAAAAAAACAAACCAAACAAACAGAAATCTAGCACAGGAACGAGCTACCATTTCAAAGATTAAATGTTTAAATTAAACTTGGTAGGCTTAAAAAATAGTTTTACTCTGGAATGGTTTGCTCTGATCATAATGTGAATGTTTCTAAATTTTACCATTTCATGATCACTTCTAAATTTTACCATTTCATGCATTTTTTTCCTCTAGAAAATAATTTTAAGCCATGGTATTATTCATCGCTCTCATTTCAGTACTTAAATTATCAAAGGTTCTGAGAGAACCAAGATGGCGGCATAGGTAAACACCTGAAATTGCTGCCTCGCACAACCACTTCAAAACTACAACTAAAAGACAAAACAGACATCATCCAGAACCACAGGAAGGCTGGCTGAGTGGAAATTCTACAACTAGAAGGAAAGAGAAAAGCACACTGAGACTCAGAGGAGGTGCGGAAGTAAAGTGCAGAGGTACGGAGGCACACTTGGAAAGGGCTGGCAACGGAGGACACTGGTGTCTTTTTCAAACGGGAGGGAGTCTCAAGCTCGAGACTGCTCTGAACTCCAATTCCGGGCAAGTCTCTGGGGACCCAGACTCATACGGGGAGAGACTGGGCTGTCTGGCATCAGTCGGAACTCAAGGGCAGCTTTCTCTCAGAGGTGCTTGCAGAGATTACCGGGACACTGAGACGATTACCGGGACACTGAGATGCGGGGTCTCTTAGGGTAGGACTGAGGAGCAGCCATAGCTGCTTGCCCCGCCCTGTTGATTCCTTGAGACCCCGCCCCCCACCCAAGCTGCGAGCAGAGGCTTTTGCATAGGAATGCCCTGGCCCTTTGAGATCCAAAATTACCTAATAAAATGCACCTGGGTCAGAGAGACCCAGAACATCCAAAAGAAGGCTCAAGGCCCCACAGCAGCTTGCACTGCTTCACAGCTAGGCCTCATCTGGGCACCTCCAAACCCCAAACAAGGAAGAGGAATCTGCAGATCTCTCTGTAGCTCCTGCTGGGTAGCCTCAGGCAGAGGCTAAATTAGCACCTCCTTAGATCCAAGAGCCAGTGTACCCAGTGGTCAGAGTGGGACCATCCAGATTACAACTCCTCAGATACATAAGGGACACACCCAGGGGGCAGACTCAGTGAGCACCAAAGCCCCACTGAAGCAAGTCTTGCCCCAGAATGGTGTCTCCAGCACAGAAGTTCTCCCACTGCAGACACAGTTGATTCTCACAGCCAATTGGCCTGGAGGTCAATTCCTTCCAGTGATACCAACAACAATCAAGGCTTAACAACAATACTGTGCACACAGCCCACAAAGGGGTGTGCCAAGAGTGTCCACCTCAGGTAATTGGGGAGGCTGAGTCACTGGGCCCTATAGGACACCTAGCACAGAAAGCCACTCTACCAACACAGGGAAGCATAAAAAATGCGGAGACAAAGAAAGAGATCACAAATGACAGAAATGGAGGAAAGCAAACTACAGGATATATAATTCAAAAACCACGGTTTTTCAAGAATTTTCTAGAAACCGCCGATAAATTTAGTGAGACCCTGGAGGATATGAAAAAGGACCAACTAGAAATTAAGCATATACTGACTGAAATAAAGAATAATATACAGAGATCCAACAGCAGACAAGAGGATTCCAAGAATCAAGAAAAAGATTTGAAATATGAGGAAGCAAAAAATACCCAACTGGAAAAGCAAAAAGCAGAAAGAATCCAAAAATATGAAGATAGTGTAAGGAGCCTCTGGGACAACTTCAAGCGTACCAACATCTGAATTATATGGGTGCCAGAAGAAGAGAGAGACCAAGATATTGAAAACCTATTTGAAGAAATAATGACAGAAAACTTCCCCTACCTGGTGAAAGAAATAGACTTACAAGTCCAGGAAGTGCAGAGAACCCCAAACAAAAGGAATCCAAGACACATCATAATTAAAATGCCAAGGGCAAAAGACAAAGAGAGAATCTTAAAAGCAGCAAGAGAAAAAAAGTCAGTTACCTACAAGGGAGTACCCATACAACTGTCAGCTGATTTCTCAACAGAAACTTTGCAGGCCAGAAGGGAGTGGCAAGAAATATTCAAAGTGATGAATGCCAAGAACCTACAACCAAGATTACTTTATCCAGCAAAGCTATCATTCAGAATTGAAGGTCAGATAAAGAGCTTCACTGGTAAGAAAATGCTAAAGGAGTTCATCACTATCAAACCAGTATTATATGAAATGCTGAAAGGTATTCTTTAAGAAGAGGAAGAAGAAAAAGGTAAAGGTAAAAATTATGAACAACAAATACATATCTATCAACAAGTGAATCTGAAAATCAAGTGAATAAAAAATCTGATGAACAAGAGTAAACTGGCGAATATAATAGAATCAGGGGCATAGAAAGGGAATGGACTGACAATTTTCGGGGGGAAAAGGGGTGTGGGAGGGTGTGGGAAGAGCCTGGACCAAAATCATACACCTATGGATGAGGACAGTGGCGGGGGGGGGAGGTAAGGGCAGAGGGTGGGGTGGGAACTGGGTGGAGGGGAGCTATGGGGGGAAAACAAGAGGAACAACTGTAATAATCTGAACAATAAAGATTTATTAAAAAAAAAAATTATCAAAGATTCCTGCATCCAAAGTGTCAGACCACATGAGGGTAGAATGAGATGAAGAGTACTGACAGACATATGGGCCAAGTAAGTGAAAAAGGAATACATATTACAAAGAATACAATATACTTGTGATGATAACAGTTATAATTATTTCTAGTTAAAAATTTTAAATACCTGTAATAGGTCTTAGTCTCCGTAAAACAGAAGATGGCCTTCTCATATCGGCAAGGAATTTGTACAGATCTTCATCACTTAAGCGGTCTCCTTCCTGATTTTAAAAACAAAGGAAAAATTATTTGATAAAATAAATATGGTAGATTTAAAATATTGCTTGTTAATAATCCTGCCCTTTTTCCTTTATTTGAGTCAGAGTGAAACGTAAAATTTATATAATCGTGATTAAAAATCAGTATGTGGACTTATTTCCTTTTTTATGCTTTCAAATTTTATTGAGTTATGATACTGCTATCTGTTTTTAAATTTTATATATTTATTTATAGCCCATTATGTTTATAAGGTATTACAGGGAACTCTAAAATATGGAAAATCAATACAAATTAGAGATAGATGAAAAGGACAAAAAAAAGAGTATTGATATAAAACAGATATACATATAATGACATTCTTAAAAACTTATAACACTTGAGTTTATATTTGTCTTTTCAATTTTATATCACCAAGTCTCTCAAACGCAAAATATAAAGCACTGACTAAATTTACAAGAAGAAAGAAGTAGTAACAAAAACTTCTCTTGAAATAAAGTATAACTATCTTGATATTAAACCAGAAAGAAAAAAAATGAAAAGACCTCCATCCTGGGAAAAGAGACAAACCAAACCAAACCATACCTAATTAATAAAAATTTTTTAATTTAATATAATGTTTTGCAATTAAAATAGGTAGGGATTAATTTTGTTTTTTAATTTAAGAGTTAGTTTTTAGAGTTTATTAATCTAAACCTCCTGCATTTAATACCTTAGTGGTTTTAAAGCATAGTTCATGTCGTCTTTTTATCTTAAATAGGGTTAAGGTTACTTTACTACTATGAGCTCACCCTGAACTACATATTCCACCTGCTCACTGCTATATTCTGAACAGGATACAGAATTGCTCATCTTTTATCCCACTATCTAGAAAAGTGATTTTTACTTTCCAAAAGGCTGGAGTTTTTTGTTAATACTTTTATAAATAGTTTTTAGTTTTATTGAGTTATGGTTAGCAAATTTGACTCTATGAAGATTTTTTCAGTGACCTAACATATAATTAATTATTACAAATGTTCTATCAGTTGCTAAAACAGTATATTCTCTCCTTTTGAATACAGAATTAAATGCATCCTTAAATGGTTCTTATTTATAACTAGAGGCCCGGTGCACAAAAATTTGGGCACTCGGGGGTGAGGGGGGGGATCTCTCAGCCCGGCCTGTGCCCTCTCGCAGTCTGGGACCCCTCGGGAGATAACGACCTGCTGGCTTAGGCCTGCTCCCGGGTGGCAGAGGGCAGGCCCAATCCCTAGGTGCAGCCCCTGGTCGGGCTCAGAGCAGGGCCGATTGGGGAGTTGGGGCGCCGCCCCCTGTCATGCACAGAGCAGGGCGGATTGGGAGGTTGTGATGCCACCCCCAGTCACGCTCAGGGTAGGGCCGATTGGGGGGTTGGGGCATCGCCCCCTGTCACACTCAAGGCAGGGTCGATGGGGAGGTTGCGGCGCCACCCCCTGTCACGCACAGAGCAGGGCCAACCAGGGGGTTGGGGCGCTGCCCCCTGTCACGCACACAGCAGGGCCCATCAGGGGAGTTGGGGCTCCTTTCCCTGTCATGCACAGAGCAGGGCCCATCAGGGGGTTGAGGAGCTCCCCCTGTCACTCACAGAGTAGGGCCGATAGGGGAGTTGGGGCACCGTCCCCGGTCACACACAGAGCAGGGCGGATCAGCAGGTTGGGGCGCTGCCCTCTATCACCCACAGAGCAGGGCCCATCAGGGGGTTGGGGCGCCGCCCTCTATCACCCACAGAGCAGGGCCGATCCGGGGGTTGGGGTGCCGCCACTCTCACACTCAGGGCAGGGCAGATGGGGAGGTTATGGCTCTACCCCGTCACACACAGAGCAGGGCCCGTGGCGGGGGGCGGGTGGGGTTGGGGTGCCGCACCCTGTCACACACAGAGCAGGGCCGATCAGGGGGTTTGGGCGCTGCCCCATCAGGCTGATCCCAGTGCCGGGAGGCCTCGCGGCTCCGCTGATCCCGGTGCTGGGAGGCATATTACCCTTTTACTATATAGGGTAGAGGCCTGGTGCACGGGTGGGGGCCGGCTGGTTTGCCCTGAAGGGTGTCCTGGATCAGGGTGGGGGTCCCCACTGGGATGCCTGGCCAGCCTGGGTGAGGGGATGATGGCTGTTTGCAGCTGGTCACACACCCTTCAGGGTGGGGGTCCCCACTGGGGTGCCTGGCCAGCCTGGGTGAGGGGATGATGGCTGTTTGCAGCTGGTCACACACCCTTCAGGGTGGGGGTCCCCACTGGGGTGCCTGGGCAGTCTGGGTAAGGGGCTGAAGGCTGTTTTCAGGCTGGGGGTGACTGAAGCTCCCAACCGCTCCTTCTTTCCTTTTTTTTTTTTTTTTTTTTTAATTCTGGGCCAGCTTTAACTTGAGGCTTGGCTCCAGCTCTTAGGCCTCCGCTGCTGAAAGTAGGTTTCTGGCCTTTGCTTACAATGTTGCGATTCTGCTGGCTGAAGTCCGGCAGTATTCGTTATAATGTTTCTTAAACTGCAGGCTCAGAGGCCTGCAGCCACAGGCGGGGAATGCTGGTTTCCTCCGTCACTGAGGCAAGCAAGCCTCATGTTAGTTTCAAGCTGCCTGGCTGCCGGCCGCCATCTTGGCTGACAGTTAATTTGCATATCTCGCTGATTAGCCAATGAAAAGGGTAGCGGTCGTACGCCAATTACCATGTTTCTCTTTTATTAGTGTAGACTAGAGGCCTGGTGCATAAATTCACGCACATTGAAAGGAAATTAATTAGAAGAAATATTTTAGAGGCTAGGGAGGGACCACGGGAGACTGGCTCCAGGGTATGTCCGGCCAGTCTCACCCACTCCCGATCCACCAGACCCCAGTAGCAAGCTACCGATTGGAGCGTCGGCCCCCTGGTGGTCAGTGCATGTCATAGCTACTGGTCAAGCAGTTGACCAAATGGTCAACCAAACAGTGTAACACTTAGCATATTAGGCTTTTATATATATAGATACATTAAGATTATCTTTAGATTCAACTATTTCTGTCTACTTAACCTGTTCAATTGATTATACTATTGACCTCCATTCTTTACTCTATATCTGTTTCCATACCTTTTGTTAGGTGGGACATTAACTCCCTCCCCAGGCTTGTGTTGGCCAATAAGCAAAGATGATGCAGAAACTTCAAAAACATTTGCACAACTGAGCTTACCCTCCCTCTTGAACTTCAGCCACTGGTATGAGAACATTATCAAGCCAGCCTGCGAGATGATGAGAGTACAAATTGAGAAATATAAAAGAGGTCTGTTATTTCTGTCTTCCCAAAAGTCAGTCTAGATCAGCTGACTCCAGTCAACCTCTATACATGTGGATGAACCTAGCTGACAACCCCTTCTCCACAGTGCTGGTTTACTGTTGTGTACTCCTAAAGCAACAACTTACACACATTTTAGTAAGTAGAAAAAATGCCCTTAAAACTAATGTGTGAATTTTATTTTTAAATCTCCATGTATTTCTAATAACTTTAGCTTGTCACATTTAAAATCTGTACATAAGCACTGATTACTCTATCCCAATCATGAGTAGTAATTGCTCAATTAAAAACAAAACAAAACAAAAACAAAAAAACACCTGCTTTTGTTTCTAATTTAGGAGAAAATTGTGCCTTTAATTCTACTTTATTAAAATTATAATCTCTGCTTTTTACTTAATTTGCATTTGCCTGATATATAATATTCTAGCTATTTAAAAATACTTATAAAAATTGTACATACTAATAGTTTAAAAAATTACAGAGCTCTACAAAGTCAAGTGTCAATGCTTCCCATTGCTCTATGTCCCCAGCAATCATTGCTTTTTAAGTTTCACAAATAGTTTGTACTAGTTTCGGGTTACTGGTCTCCAGTACATGGTGAATACTCAAAAAGTATTTGTTGGATAAATACGTAGGTGGGTAGAATGATGCTCAGTACATGATGAATGCTCAATAAAGTACCTTTGAATAAATAGGTGGGTAGGTGGATGGATAACTGGTTGATTTGCGTTTACAATACCAGTTCAATGATAAAGCAGCTGAAGAAATGCAAAGAAGAGCTGTGAAAACAGCAGAAGTGATGTAGCAGCTGAGGAAGCACAAAAAGAGAAAAATGTCATAGTTGCAAGGTTGTGTCATTGTATGAGGTAAATCTACCGCTCTGTCTCCATAGCTATACTTGGCTATTACCTCATCGAAGTAATACTGAGGCCTTTTCTAAACGCTTTCTTGTACTACAATCTATATATATAAAAGCCTAAGCGACCATACGACTGTCCGACAGGTAACTATGACATGCAATGACCACCAGAGGGCAGACGCTCCAACCAGTAGCTATAATGCGCACTGACCACCAGGGGGGAGACGCTCAACCCAGGAGCTGCCGAGCTGTGGTGACTTGGCAGCTGCGGTTCTCAGGTGACGCACCCAGAACCAGAGAGGAGGGAGCCTGATTCTGGGATGCATCACCCGAGAACAACCCTCTCACAATCTGGGACCCCTCAGGGGATGTCGGAGAGCCAGTCTTGGCCCAATCCCCAGAGGCCAGGCCAAGGAACTCCACCAGATCCGTGCACGGGCCTCTAGTTCATAATAAAAAGACCCTTACCACTTCAGACACTCCTTACCTGCTTTATTTTCCATCTGAGTGTCTCAGAGCAGTTGCCTATGAATGCTATTGATAGATAATTGTGAAAGACACTTCAAGTACATTGTTATCTGTCAATTCATGGCACATCCTGCCCTAAAATCTAGCTCTCTCAAGTTACAAGGTATCAGAAGGCCAGGATTTCCTCCCTATATTTAGAATAACATCTTAAAAGGAGGAATTTTGAGAGAGTATTTTGCATTTTCCTTTAATCTGCTCTAAAACACGTGAATGGTTATTCTCCAGTTTGTCACACTAATACAAATTTTCTTCCATTCTTATATGGTTCTGGTCATCTGCTTACTCAAGACAAAGGCTTTCAAATTTTTCTGATCTTGGTCCACATTATAAAATTAATTTTACTTCAAAATCCAGTATGCATACACTCACAAAAAAACTAGGGGGAATAAAGCTCACTGAAGCAGTAGAATATAGATGTGGAGGATTGATTCTGATGCATTATTAGACAATGTCACTATTTAAATAAAATGATAAAACAGATATATATAAATTATTTTTATTATTATATATTTTATTTTTATTCTTAATTTTTTAAAATTTCTTGAAATTATAATCAATTATTATATGTGCATATACATTCACGATTTTTCTGAAACCAAAAGAAATTTACAGACAAATAACTCCCTAGAATTCCTACATGACAGAACAATACCTGCTTAAAAAAATTTGTCACTGTGAGTGTAGCAGGTCGAAAGCTGGTCAGGTTACAAGCATCATCTCCACTTGTTGTCCTTTCAAGTGATCGTCTGCCAACAATACTGGAATTCCTCCTCTCTGACCAAGACCCTTTTCGTTCTACGAAGGAAAAAAAAGTAAAATATTCATTTTTATAATGTTTAAAAAACTTGTTTTAAAGCAGCTTTCCAAACAGGGTGGAAATCCACTGAGGTTGAAAATAACCACTTAGCATATTGACTATAGTAGAAGAATTTCACTTCTTTGGGAGATCAGTAAGAAAATATTACACCTAAATCTTCTGATTCTCTTTAAAATTCTCCAATGTAAAAAAAGGTAATTACCACACAAAGATTATGCATATGACCAAAGATGAGCTAAGAAGAACAGATATAGAGGAACTAGAAATTTTAGTCACTATATATGGTCCCTCAGTCTTACAGCACTTGAATTTGAAACTTTCATTCAAATTTTTGCAAGATAACCCTACTATTCAAACCCAATAAAATAATTATGTTGAAGACTTAAAACAAAACTATAAACAAACTAGACCTACCAGACCTCTACAATATACTCCACTAAACAAAAGGCAAATGCACATTCTTCTCAAGCACACATAAGACATTCTCCAAGACAGATTATATATAATAATATATATATATACCTCCAAGTAATATATATATATACCTCCAAGACAGGTATATCTTGTTTTATTGCTCTTTGCTTTATTGCACTCTACAGATATTACATTTTTCACATATTAAAAATTTGTGGCAACCCTGCATTGAGCAACTCTATTGGTGCCATTTTTTTCAATAGTATTCGCTCAATTTGTCTCTGTTCACATTTTGGTAATTCTCACAATATTTCAAACTATTTTTTTTTTTAATCCTCACCCGAGGATATTTTTCCATTGATTTTTTAGAGACAGTGGAAAAGAGAGTGAAAGACAGAGAGAAATATCGATGTGAGAGAAATATCAATTGGTTGCCTCCTGCACATGCCCTGACCAGGGCCCAGGCCGAGGAGAAGCCTGCAACCGAGGTACATGCACTTGACTGGAATCGAACCCAGGACCCTTTGGTCCACAAGCCAATGCTCTATCTACTGAGCCAAACCAGCTAGAGCTATTTCAAACTTTTTCACTGTTATTATATTTGTTATGGTAATCTGTGATCAGTGATCTCTGATGTTATTATTGTAATTGTTTTGGGGCATCACAAACTTAAGAGAGCAAACTTAATAAATGTGTGTTCTGATTGTTCCAGTGACGGGTTGTTCTCCTATCTCTGTCCCTCTCCGAGAGACCCCAATTCTCTGAGACACAATAATACTGAAATTGGCCAAATAATAACCCTACAATGGCCTCCAAGTATTCAAGTGAAAGAAAGTCCTATGTTTCTCATTTTTAATCAAAAGCTACAAATGATTAAGCTTAATGAGAGAATGTTGAAAGCCAAGATATGCTGAAAGCTAGGCCTCTTGCATCAAAGAGTTGGCCAATTTGTAAATGCAAAGAAAAATTCGTGAAAGAAATTAAAAGTGCTGCTCCAGTGAACACACAAAAGATAAGAAAGCGAAACAGCCTTATTGTTGATATGGAGAATATTTTAGTGGTCTGGATAGAAGATCAAACCATCCACAACATTCCCTTCAGCCAAAGCCAAATCCAGAGCAAGATCCTAACTCTCTTCAATTCTATGAAGGCTGAGAGAAGTGAGGAAGATGCCGATGAAAAGGTTGAAGCTAGCTGAGGCTAGTTCATAGGCTTAAGGAAAGAAGCCATCTTTCATAACATAAAAGTGCAAGGTGAAGCAGCAAGTGCTAATATAGAAGCTGCAGCATTATCCAGAAGATCTAGCTAAGATAATTAATGAAGGTGGCTACACTAAACAGATTCCCAATAGAGACAAAACAGCCTTAGGTTAGCAGATGCTATCTAGGACTTTATAGCTAGAGAGGAGAAGTTAATGCCTGGGTTCAAAGCTTCAAAACCTGACTCTCTTGTGAGGGGCTAAGGCAGCTAGTGACTTTACATAGAAGCCAGTGCTCATTTGCCATTCTAAAAATCCTAGGGTCCTTAAGAATTATGCTAAACTACTCTGCCTGTGCTCTATAAAAGGAACAGCAAAGCCTGGATGATAGCACATCTGCCTACATGATTCACTGAACATTTTAAGCCCACTGTTAAGACCTATTGCTCAGAAAAAAATATTCCTTTCAAAATAATACTACTCATTGACAATGCACCTGGTCACCCAAGAGCTCTAATGGAGATGTACATTAATGTTTTCATGCCTGCTAACACAACATCCATTCTGCAGCCCATGGATCAAGGAGTAATTTCAACTTTTAAGTCTTTTTATTTAAAAAATACATTTCATAAGGATATATCTGCCACAGTGATTCCTCTGATGGATCTGGGCAAGTAAACTGAAACTTTCTGGAAATGATTCACCATTCTCAATGTCATTAAGAACAATACAGATTCATGAGAAGCAGTCAAAATACCAACGTTAACAGGAATTTGGAAGAAGTTGATTCCAACCCTCACTGATGAGTTTGAGTGGTTGAAGATTTCAGTGGAGGAAGTAACTGCAGATGTGGTGGAAATAGCAAGAGAACTAGACTTATTGGAGCCTGAATTGCTGCATCTCATGATAAAACATTAACAGATGAGGAATTGCTTCTTATGGTTGATCAGAGAGAGTGGTTTCCTGAGACAGAACTGACTCCTGATGAAGATGCTGTGATGATTGTTGAAATGACAACGAAGGATATAGAAATTATATAAACTTAGGTGATAAAGCAGCAGCAGGGTTTAAAAGAACTGACTCCAATTATGAAAGAAGTTCTGTAGGTAAAATGCCATCAAACAGCATCACATGCTATAGAGAAATCATTGGCAAAAGAGTCACTTAATGCAGCAAATTTCATTGCTGTTGTATTTTCAGAAATTGCCACAGATACCCCAACCTTCAGCCGCCACCACTCTAATAAGTCAGCAGACATTAACACTGAGGCAAAACTCTCCACCAGCAAAAAGATTACAACTCATTGAAGGCTCAGATGATGGTTAGCATATTTTAGCAAGAAAGTATTTTTAATTAAGTTATGTACGTTGTTTATTTAGACATAATGTTATTTCATACTTAACAGACAAGTACAATGGACCATTATTCAGCAATAAAAAATGAAATACTGACACATGCTATAGCACAGATTAACTTTAAAACATTACACTAAGCAAAAGAAGCTAGACACAAAAGACTAGATATTACGTAATTCTATTGATATGAAATGTCTGGAACAAGAAAATCCATACGACTTACTGGTAAGTAGATTTGAGGTTGTTTAGTGTTGGGTTTGGGGATTTGGGGAGAATGGAAAATGACTGCTAGTGACTATGAAAGCATTCCACAATTAGATTGCAATGATGGTTGCAGAACCTTGGGACTACATTAAAAAAACACTGAATTATACACTTAAAACAGGTGAAATGTATGGTATGCAAATTACATCTCAAAAAAGCTGTTAAGGTTTTAACAAAAGGCAAAAAAGAAACCATGTATGCCTCATCACATTGCAAAGTCTACACATAAAACAAGCTTATCTAAGAAAGAAGAAAAAAAATTATATATTTAGAAACATTTTATATAAAACACTCTTACCTCCCGTACTAATTTCTACCTCTGTAGAATCTCTTTCCAAACTCCCAGCACTGCTAACAATATTCATTAAATGGATCGCAGTCCAAGCGAAAGGCATGCGATATTTTCCAAGTCTTTGGCAAAACTGATCAGCTTGACTTTTCAGCTTCTCCAATTTTTCCTTATTCTGCAAAACAAAACTTTATACATTATATGATTATGCTCAAAGAAATGAATTAAAGGCTATTTCATAATAAATAGAGACACAGTTTAAAAATTCTCAATTTTCAACAAAGATGGAAAAACAATCTGTGCCTTTCAGAGATCAATTAACAGTGTACTATCTTAACCACTGAACAACCTTAACCTGTTCTACAAATGTATGTACAGAATAAGTCTTCGACATTTTTGTTTGAAATTATCTCATCTCTGGAGAAAAAAGAGCAAGTGTCAAATATGTTTATGTATTTTAAGTACTATTTTATGAAAGGAAGCATAACTATGTTTCCAACTGCAAACTATAAAATATTCTAAGTTATAACTCATTAAGTTTAAATATTCTAAAAAATATGGAAGCACTTGAGCCGATTTAAAATAGTCCCTAACTTAGAGCAACCATGAGGTGGGAGTGTAGGGCACAAATATGCCAATAATAAGCCAAGAGTAGTAATAAATGAAGCAAAAAAAAAAGTATGATAAGAGTACTAAATACTGGTAAAAGACTAATGGTACAAACAGTACATGCCTACCTGGAAGACATCCTGAGTCTGGCTCAACTTTTAGGCTATTCCTGAACAAACACTAAGGCGACCTGCAATATCCAACCAATGGTCCAAGAGTGAAAACCCACACCAAATTCCTCACATATTCTTTCTATACAGTATGTCTATTGGTGTGGTTTACTCTAATGACAGTTCCCTACCTGAAGACTCAGAGCTGGGAAAAGATGGACAGATAGCTAAATGGCATCACTTTTACTGCTATACCTAGTATACCTTAAAAATAGGTTCTTGCTTTAAAAGCCTAGCTATAAAGTATACTTAATTCTATCAGCTTATGTAAATATGTAAGAAGAAATGTGGAATAAGCTGCTATAATACCTATGAACTCCATATAACAGAGCAAATTTAATTTGTAAAATGACAACCTGGGAAAGCCTGAATACTTTAACACTGCTTTCAACCAGATAGCCAGGGATCAGAGAAGATTACCATGTCTTCAGATCTACTTATAATAGCAGAAAAGGCTTAGCTCTTGTTCTGAATCTCAGAAAAACAGAAAGTAAAACATTTTCTAGTTTGTAAAGTATTTCTCAAGCATACCTCTCCTGGGTGTTTCCAGTATTAAATGAAGTGTTCAAAGACCCAAGATCACCTGTTATTCCTATAGCTAACTCAGGGTATCTGGAATTTGGTACCTATTGTTGACCAATTATTTTTGCTTTAGAAGTTTATCTAAATTCTAGAAATTTGTTATTTGATGACAAAACAGAGGTTGTATTTTCTATTTTTAACACATTCTTAATTATCTATAGCTAGACAGAGGCCTAGAATATTTCTGTTTTGCTATGAAATGTTCAATCAATATCACTATTCTGTATATATAAGAAAAATTATTTAGGAATTAAACTGAATTAGCTTTCTACAAAAAAAATAATTTAAATAATCAATTAATGGTGAGGGATATTTTAAAGAATAGCACAATATGTGACACAAGCGAGGTGACAAAGCAAATAAAGAAAGAAACTGAGTAGGATAATAGAAAAAAATGAATTAAATTTATTAGTATGCTTTACACAGTAGTTTCCCAAATAATAATTTGGGAGATTAGAGGTAATTTAGGGTTGGGTTTGGGGACTTGGGGGAAATGGGAGTGAATGGCAATAAATACAAAAGTGGGGGAAATGAGAGGCATGATATTCTATACCTTGGTGGCATCTGCTTCTTTGAAAATCATATATGGTTCTGCACACTCTCCAATGTCTCCTTGCTGTAGGACTTTTTCTAACTGTCAAAGGCAAAAATTAAAGATTAAACTTTTTTTTAAAAAGCTATCAGTATGGAATGCAAGGATGATTCAACATATAAAAATTAATCAATATAATAAAATCACATGATCATTTCAATTAATATAGAAAAAGCACTGAACAAAATTCAATATACTTTCATGAAAGAAACATTCAACAAACTAGGAATTTAAGAAAGCTACCTCAACATAATCAAAGCCCTTATGTGCAAAGCCCGCAAGATAACATCATACTAGGTGTTAAAAGACTTAAAACTTTCCCTCTAAGATCAGCAACAAGATAGGGATGCTCACTTTTGCCAATTCTATTCAACATAGTAATTAGAAGACTGAGTCAGAGCAATTAGGCAAGAAAAAGAAAACACATTCAAATTAAAAAGGAAAAAGTAAAATTATCTCTTTGAAGACATGATCTTTTATACAGAAAACCCTAATATTTCACTCACGCGCGTGCACACACACACACACCCACACACACTCTTTAGAACTTAAAGGAATTCAGCAAAGTATCAGATACAAACCATGCAAAAATAAGTTGTATGTCTATACACTAAAAATGAGCAATTTGAAAAGGAAATTAAGAAAATAATTCCATTTTACAATAATATCAAAAAGAATAAAATACTGAGGAACTAATCAAGAACTGAAAGAGTTGTATTTTGAAAACTATAAAACAGTGGTAAAAGTAAATAAATAAATAAATAAATAAATAAACAAATAAATAAATGAAACACAAATAAATGGCAAAACATCTTGCACTCATGAACTGGAAAACTTAATGTAATTAAGATGTCAATACTACCTAAAACAATCTGTAGATTTAATCAAAATCACAATAATGGGGTGTTTTTATGTTTGTTTGTTTTTCCAATAGTCAAAACAAGCTTTAATAAAAGGAACAAAGTTGGAAGCTGGAAGCCTCAAACTTCTTGATTTCAAAACTTAATATAAAGTTACAGTAATCAAAACAGTGTGGTACTGGCATAAAGATATACCTATAGATCAATGTGGTAGAATAGAGCCCAGAAATAAACCCTTGTATATATAGTTAAATAATTTTCAACAGGGGTATCAAGACCATTCAATAAGAAAAGGAGAGGCTTTTCAAGAAATGGTGTTAAAAAAACAACACCTGAATGTCCAATTGCAAAAAATTAAATTATACCTTTACCTTATGTTATACAAAAATTAATTTGAAATGGATCAAAGACCTAAACATAGACCTAACACTATAAAACTCTTAGAGAAGAAAAAATAAAGAACATGACTATGTTTTCTTGGATTTGAGACCAAAAAAAAAAAAAAGCACATTCAATTAAAGTAAAAGTAGGTAAACTGGACTACATCAAAATTTAAAACTTTTGTGCTTCACAGGACACAACCAACGGTGTAAAAAGACAAGAAATGAGAGAAATCATACATATATATCATAAGGAGTTAATGCCCAGAACAGATTTTTTAAAACATCATAACTGGAGAACCAAGATGGCAGCATAGGTTAATGCCGGAGTTTGCTGCCTCGAACAACCACTTCAAAAAAAACAACTAACAGACGGAACGGACATCACCCAGAACCACAGGAACGCTGGCTGAGTGGAAGTCCTACAACTAGGAGGAAAGAGAAACGCATACCGACACTCAAAGAAGGCGCAGTGCTGAAGTCAAATTCTGAGGTGCGGAGTGCATGCAGAGCGGGCTGGCGGCTGAGGGCGCGGTTGGAGTTTTCAATTGGGAGGGAGTCGCAGACTCTGAGCTCCAGATCCGGGCGAGTCTTTAGGGATCCAGACTCAAACAGGAGAAGCGGGACTGTCTGGCTTCGGTCGGAACTCGAAGGCAGCTTTCTCTCTGAGGTTTGCAGCGGTTGCTGGGACTCAGAGAGGCAGAGCCCCTGGGGACGGGACTGAGAGCAGCCATAACTGCTTGCTCCGGCCCACCCTGTTGATCCCGTGCCACTCGCCCCGCCCAAGCCCTGCACAGAGGCATTTGCCGGATAGCCTCAGGCAAAGGCTAGATTAGCACCTCCCTAGAGGACAGAAGTTCTCTCACTGCAGACACAGCTGATTCTCACAGCCAGTTGGCCTGGTGGTCAAATCCCCGCCAGTATTACCTACAACAATCTAGGCTTAACTACAACAAGACTGCGCATAAAGACCACTAGAGGTTGTAGTTAAGAAAGCATAAAAAATGCGGAGACAAAGAAACAGGACGCAGATGTCAGAAATGGAAGATATAAAGCTCAAAACCACACTTTTAAGGTCTTTCAATAAGTTTCTAAAAACTGCCGATAAATGTCGTGAGATCCTCAAGAAATCTAATGAGATCCTCGATGTTGTGATAAAGAACCAACTAGAAATTAAGCATACACTGACTGAAATAAAGAATATTATACAGACACCCAACAGCAGACCAGAGGAGCGCAAGAATCAAATCAAAGAATTGAAATGTGAAGAAGCAAAAAACACCCAACCGGAAAAGCAAAATGAAAAAAGAATCCAAAAATACGAAGATAGTGTAAGGAGCCTCTGGGACAGCTTCAAGCGTACCAACATCAGAATTATAGGGATGCCAGAAGATGAGAGAGAGCAAGATATTGAAAACCTATTTGAAGAAATAATGACAGAAAACTTCCCCCACCTGGTGAAAGAAATGGACTTACAGGTCCAAGAAACGCAGAGAACCCCAAACAAAAGGAATCCAAAGACGACCACACCAAGACACATCATAATTAAAATGCCAAGAGCAAAAGACAAAGAGAGAATCTTAAAAGCAGCAAGAGAAATAAACTCAGTTACCTACAAGGGAATACCCATACGACTGTCAGCTGATTTCTCAACAGAAACTTTGCAGGCCAGAAGGGAGTGGCAAGAAATATTCAAAGTGATGAATGCCAAGAACCTACAACCAAGATTACTTTATCCAGCAAAGCTATCATTCAGAATTGAAGGTCAGATAAAGAGCTTCACAGATAAGGAAAAGCTAAAGGAGTTCATCACCACCAAACCAGGATTATATGAAATGCTGAAAGGTATCCTTTAAGAAGAGGAAGAGGAAGAAAAAGGTAAAGATACAAATTATGAACAACAAATATGCATCTATCAACAAGTGAGTCTAAGAATCAAGTGAATATATAATCTCATGAACAGAATGAACTGGTGATTATAATAGAATCAGGGACATAGAAAGGGAATGGACTGACTATTCTTGGGGGGGAAAGGGGTGTGGGAGATGCGGGAAGAGACTGGACAAAAATCGTGCACCTATGGATGAGGACAGTGGGTGGGGAGTGAGGGCAGAGGGTGGGGCGGGAACTGGGAGGAGAAGAGTTATGGGGGGGAAAAAGAGGAACAAATGTAATAATCTGAACAATAAAGATTTAATTAAAAAAAAATACCATAACATAACAAAACAATAATAATCTGATTATTAAATGTGAAAAGGACTTGAGTAGACATTTCTCCAAGGAAGCTATACAAATGGCTAATAGGCATATGAAAGGATGTTTAAACCACTAATCATTAGGGAAATGCAAATCAAAACCACAATAAGACCATCTTACACCCATCAGAATGGCTACTCTCAAAAATAAATAAATATACAACAAATATTGGCAAGGATATAGAAAAACTAGCACCCTTCGCCGCTACCAGTGAACTGTAAAATGGTGCATCCACTATGGAAAGCAGTACAAAGATTCCTCAAATATTAAAAATAGAACTACCATGCAATTCAGGAAATCTATTTCTGGGTATAAACCCAATAGAATTGAAAGCAGTTGTCTGACCAAATATCAGACTAAATGTTGCTGTATAGGTATTTTTTGGAGATGATTAACATTTTATCAGTAGACTGAGTAGAGTAGATTACCCTCCATGATGTGGGTGAGCCTCATCTAATTAGTTAAAGGTCACAGAGCAAAAAATGAGGTTTCTCAAAAAAGGTATTCTCAAGACTACTTGGCTGAGTTTCTAGTATGTTGCTCTGTGGGATTCAAACCCAAGACAACAACTCTTTCCTGAATTTCCAGCCTGCCTGCCTGCCATACAGATTTCAGACTTGCTAGCCCCCAGCCAAATCCTTCCTTTCTGTGTGTGTGTGTGTGTGTGTGTGTGTGCAGCCGCACGCGCGCACACACGCACACACACATGTATCCATCCTACAGGTTTGTTTCTATGAAAAACCCTGACTAAAACAGTCCCTAATTCAAGAAAAAATTAAGTAGCACCTATAGTGTATGTTAAAGAATATTAAGATGAAAAAATAAGTAAAGGCAAAATCTGTGCCCATAAAAAGCTGCACCACTGATAGAGAGATGAGTATACAGACACTACAGAAATAAACAAATATATTTTAACACTAGAGACCCGGTGCACAAATTTGTGCACAGGTGGGATCCCTTGGCCTGGCCAGCAATCGAGGCCAATTGGGCCTGAATGGCCGGGGGAAGGGACCGCGAGAGGTTGCTCAGTGTGGGAAGTTGGCTGTGGGAGCACACTGACCACCAGGGAGCAGCTCCTGCGTTGAGCATCTGCTCCCTCATGGTCAGTGCGCGTCATAGCAACTGGTCGTTCAGTCATTCGGTCGCTTAGGATTATATATATAGATTATTCTCACCTTTATTACAAGAAAGACATCTTGGGAAGGATAAGTGATAGAAAAAATAGCTGATCTTGCCAGGGTGGTAATGGCAGCAGGTGGTACATGTGGACGTAGCAATCCTTTCATCTGCTCAGAATTAAGGTCAAAATAAAAGTTTTCTGAAATCTAAAAAATATAATCATATCAAATTTTTAAATCTGTACATTTTATAAAAACTCACAAAAATCATACATCTCCAATCTTAAACTATTAGATATTAAAATAATATACTATAACATACAGTTTATCATATATGTCACTGCCTATTCTTTACATGTCTAAATCCAAAGAAATGTACAAACTATTTGCAAAATATAATATAATAAACATAGTCTAAAGAAGCATATCCCAAACTCTTCTGATTGGAAATGTAAACCTCTAATACAATATACAAAGAAATTATTATTGAGATGAATTATCCCAAATTGTCTTTAAAAATTATATGAACAATATCTCAGCAGTTTTGATTTAGCAAATACAAGTTGCTCAAGCAAAGTCCCACTGCAGAAAACCGTAATATTTTGACAGCAGAAGTCACTGAAGGCACTTTAAGTTTCTACTACACTTCAGGCTTAGAATATACAAGCAAGAAAGACAGCCTTTCTTGCTTAGTGTCAAAGATAAGACAGCCTTCTGTAAATGATGATGGTAAAACTAACAGCAGTATTTAAGACAGAATATTTAAAATATACATAAATGATGTTGTAGTAAGAAATTGAAAATTATGTCAACAAAAACTCACTGTTATCATTGTTACCTTTAATAGATTGCCTAAAATGCTTTTCTTGTAGTATCTTTTCTTGTTTTTAAATTAAAAGTTGCTTCTGCTACTGGCTTTTGAACTCTTTCAATGAAATAAAATCTAGGTATAAACTAAATTATTTCATAGTAAGAATATATTTAACAAGCCTTAAATTTCCATTTTTCGTTGTAAAATATCCATCTTTAATAATTCTCGAAAAATTGTTATTTATTTATCTTATAAAACAACTTAAAATCAGGTTTCTGAAATCTATTATGTTTAAATCATATAACCTTACCTTTTTCTTTTCCTTTACATCATATAAAGCCAAACTTGCAAAAATAGGTTCAATTTCAATCTCAAACCTTTAGGAAGAAAAACAATGAAGTAGTTTAAAAATAAATATAAAATACATAATTGGAGAGAAATTCTCATTCCAAAAATAATCTCAATATCGTGTACTTTTCTACATCTGTGCTACACCATCTATGCTACCCCGCTTCTTCCTGAAACACTTTTCCAGGTATATCTTTCAATTTATATCAACCATTACCTCCTCTAGGTAATCTTCCTTAATTTCTCCTATAAGTAATCTCTGCCTAAAAGCTCATGGCATTTTAATCCTACCAGACCTGAGGCCCTGAAACTAACTGTCCCCTATACCTGGGCTCCTGAGCATTAAAGAGAAAAAATCAACATGATATAGAAAAATGTTAGTTACATGCAAACAAGTGGTTAGAATAAGATGGAACTTGGAGACATTGTAGAAAATAGGTCTACCTTTCATTTACTTTTCATCTAGTGCCAATATTCCACCTTTGTGTGGAAATTACCGAAAAATCGGTACAGCAGTCTAGTAGGGTTAAGTCCACTTTTTGACACTAAGTACTTACTTAACTATAATTTGGTTATTTGTGTATGTAGATATGTAAGATTTTAAATAAACTTTAAAAGTAAAGACTTAATGTTTTCTTTTTCAGTTTGTAAATCACATACTCAATGTAATAAAATTAGGATACATAAATATATTTGGAAGAAAATGGGAGCATCCAAAACTTCACAACATAGAGAGAACCATAATTAACAGTTTAGTGCCTATCCATCCAGACTTTTCTCTATGTATAAATCCACTTATTAAATGGATTACTTTTTTAAATACAGAATGTCACTGTATACATATTTTACAGTCTGTTTTCAAACTTAATATTTTAGAGATATACGAGAGGCCCAGTGCACAAATTTTGTGCATGGGTTGAGGGGGGGGGGCGGTCTCCTCAGCTTGGCCTGCACCCTCTCCAATCCGGGACGTCCGACTGCCAATTCCTATGGGATAGGGCCTAAACCAGCAGTCATATATCCCTCTCACAATCTGGGATACTGGCTCCTAACCGCTCACCTGCCTGATCTCCCCTAACCACGCTGCCTGCCTGATCACCCATAACCACTCTGCCTGCTTGCCTGATGCCCCTAATTGCTCCCCAGCCTGCCTGATCCCCCTAACTGCTCTCCCCTGCTGGCCTGATCGCCCTAACTGTTCTCCCCTGCCGGCCTGATCCCCCTACCTGCTCTCCCCTGCCGGCCTGATCACCCCTAAATGCCTCTTCCTCAACCCCGCCACCGTGGCTTTGTCCGGAAGGACGTCCAGTCTAATTAGCATATTTGGCCTTTTATTAGTGTAGATTCCCATGACAAATATTAATCTCACTATCATTTTAAATGCTAGCATACTAATTTTCATTACTTATTTTATAACAGTATGTGTAAGTTGAGATGTCTGATTGACTTCCACAAACAATGACTTACATTTAGTAAGCACTCAATCAATATTTGCTGGTGAAATAAAATAGAAAGTTAATAAAATGGTAGAGCAGTGGTTATCAACCAAGGACTAATTTGTATCCAAGGAGAAATCTGGCAATGTCTGGAGATATTTTTGGTTATTATTATTACTGACATTTATTGAGCAGCGGCCAGGGAGGTGGCTAACCATTTTATATTATATAGGAGAGCCCCAGACAGAAATGTCAATAATGTTCATTTTTTTATCATATGACTATCAGTCAAAGTTCTTAGAGGAGAAAAACAACATATTTTTATTGGATTAAGAGTTTAATAAAAAGCCATTTACAAAGAATTGGGCATAACTTAGGGGAAACAATTACAGAGAGTGCTATTCGGTGGAATAGCAACATCGGCAGCTCATTACCATCCCTTGACCTAAAGGAAAATGTGCAAGTGGTAACCAAACTTAGAAAAAATATGGAGGACGCTTCACAAAAAACTGTGGCCCTGGGGACAGGGTGACAACTAATCGATGTGATCTAGCAGGGAATGAGTTAAAAAAAAACAAGTACCCCAACCTGATCTCACTCTCTTCCACCCTCTGACTTCTGATGCCTCTCTTAGCAGACCCCAACCAGATGCCAAAAGAATAAGGGTCTTGGTGATACTGGGTACATGGGTAAGCCTCTACTAGGCATCCTTTATAATACTTGGCAATGCTAGTCTTTTTGAATTGTCTGTCTTTTCTTACCCATTCCAGTGGGTAAATGGTATCATATTGGATTTTCAATATGCATCCTTTCATGTTTAATTAAACACATAAAGCCTTAGCTTTCAAAGGAAGAAAACTGCCTATGTTATCTAAACACAGAAGTGGCCCATCCTTATGAGTCACTTCTTTCAAAAAGCTCTATGAATTGAAACTTTTTTTCATAAGTCAGAACTAATAACTAACTGATAATATTAACATGATAGAGTAAAAAGAGTATAGGTTGCATAATGAGTATGCTAGTTGACCTCTGCTAATGCTTTTGAACCCTGGTTTCCTCATTTGTAAAATGAAGAAAATAGTATCTACCTTACAGAATTACTCTGAAGACAGCATGAAACAAAATAAGAGAAAGCATTTTGTGAAGCAGAATATAAATGTGAATATATATTTAACTTTTTTAAAGAAGGAAAAAAATATGTACTTCAAAAAAACAAAGCCTACCATGTGACAAAGGTACAATCAATTCTTCAATGAAAAAGATACGTTGTCTTTATATTCCTCACACCAAAAAAATACTTCTCAGAAGAATGCAGTAAACAAAAGTATGCAGTAAACAAAATGAATACTCACTTGAGTGATAAACATTTTACAAGAAGTCTTTGACCAAAATGTTCTTTGGGGACATCAGGAATACTAAGTCGTTCTATTGGTTCTTCCTACAAATTGACAAGCAACACCAAAATGAACCTGCTTATCATATTTCAACCCTTCACAATTTCTTTAAAAACTTATTTTATTAATTTAGTACTTTTAGTCTTCACAATTGAACACAAAATAGAATGACCTATTTATTCTAGAACTGGATTGTAAGTGAGCTAAATTCACAGAAATTACTCATTAATAATAAATTCATTAGAATAAAAAGTATGTTTCATTTATAAAAATTATAGCTATGGCTCAGTTGTGATTTATTCCCTACATTATTATACTATGCTATATGTAATTCATACTCCCAAAATGTCTATTTCATAATTACTTGCTTCTTTATTCCCAAATAACTATACCTCATCTGGTGATGGATGCAAAGCAAAGAGTTCCTTGTGACGGTTTGATTTCCTTTGGTCATCATTCTGACGGTCTATTTCTTCATTTGGAGTTCGATCAAGTAAATTGGGAAGCAGAGCATCAGGAAGTGAATTTTTCAAGTCAAAAATACTGCAGGCCCAGCTACCCCTTGGAGTATCATCTATTGACATTGAACGTCTTTTAAGATCATCCTGTCATGCAAAATATTAAAAATAAATATATGAATTAATGAATAAAACAAACTATTTTAAAATATCATTTTATAGTAATTTCAAAATAAAAGTATTACTTGCTCATCCTGGTAATTGCTGCCATCTGGAGCTTCATCAGATTCAAACACCTGTTTTGGCAAACCTTTTTGCCTTTCTTTCTGTTTATCTAATGTATTGGGATTAAATCCTGTTCCCAGTTTATGATATCTATACAAAATAAAACAGTTATGTAAATATCAATTTTTAAAAATTTTCCACTTTTTAATCATTAAATAATAAGCCAAATATTATCTGAATATTTATTTACATAATAAAGATATACACTAGCAGTTTTGAGTGTGCTAAACAATTAACCAGAGGTTTAAGAAAACTTCCATTCCAAGTCCTTTTAATCCAACTACAAAGCAGGTTATGAGTTTCCAGAAGTAAATCATACTCTCCTTTTCATGACAATCCTATCTAGTAAAGAGGTAATATGCAAATTGACCATCACTCCAACACACAAGATGGCCGCCCCTATGTGGACACAAGATGGCCTGCAGGGGAGGGAAGTTGGGGGGGACCCAGGCCTGCAGGGGAGGGCAGTTGGGGGCGACCAGGCCATCAGAAGAGGGCAGTTAGGGGCAATCGGGCCGGCAGGGGAGCAGTTAGGCGTCGATCAGGCTGGCAGGGGAGCAGTTAGGGGCAATCAGGCAGGCAGACAGGCAGGCGAGCGGTTGGGAGCCAGCAGTCCTGGATTGTGAGAGGGATCCCAGATTGGAGAGGGTGCAGGCTGGGCTGAAGGACACATACAACCCCCGCCCCATGCACGAATTTCGTGCACCGGGCCTCTAGTGTATATATAATTTACAGCTATACTTTCAATTCAGAGAATAGATCAGTAAAAATAAAGGATGAGAGAAGCCAGGTTAAAGAATAAAATGAGAGAGGAAAATATATATTGCATTCATAATATAAGAAGGCAAAAAATATATAAAGCATTGAATCTTAAATTTCAAATAGGCAAAATATTTTTGCTCTATCTCATTAGGTATAAAATGTCTTAACCTAAAGATGCAGACTTCTAAAATGAAACCATCAGGATCTACATCACCGTACACATATATTATTTAGTTAACATATATCGTTACACTCTTAAATGAATGTGACCTTCTTTCCTAACAACCCAATATCCAAGAATATCAAGGAGAAACACTAAAATCAAAGAGCAATTATTGTTCCACAGCTCAAATAGCCAAACAGGGTAAATTTCTAATTGAAGCAAAAACAATTACGATTACCAGAGGATGATATGGTTCTTGTATCAGACAATTTATGAAATAGTAAAGAATCATATTGAATATGAATCATTCACATCATGTCTTGTTGCTAAAGATATTAAAATAGAAACTACACTGTTATTTATAATTATTATTGTTATTAGTACCACCATTCAAACCACTGTCACCATCAGCTAGTGCCAACTGAGCACCTAATTTTGTAGAGTGCCATGGACTGTGACCTTAAGAAGCATCCCCCAACTTGCATAGAAGGCAGTGCTCTATGCTTATATTACTTGTAATAGTGCCCCCAAGCTCAAGTTCAAGTAAAATAAAATGGATATCCCTTTGGGGGAAAAACAGAAACTATACTATATTCATATCACAGCATAATCAAATAAAAGAAAGCATTTGTCTTTGGAAGAACTAAAATAAAGGTATGCCATATAGTAATATAAAAGGTGTTATTCAGAAGAAGATGTTTTAACCTTTCATGAAATGGTTAGAGTGCCTTAATTTGTGAATTGCATATCTAAGCTGCTCTAATAAACCAGAATAGTGTTGCATTCTGCCTCATTTATGTTCTAAAAAACTGACAGTATAAAATTCAAGAGAGCTAAGGAGAATGGCATGATTCATGTTCAATATTCTTTATATATTACTAGAGGCCCAGTGCATAAAATCCGTGCACGAGGCGTGGGGTGGGTCTCCTCAGCCCAGCCTGCACCCTCTTCAATTGGGATCCCTCTGGGGATGTCCGACTGCTGGCCTGATCGCCCCTCACTGCCTCTGCATTCCAGCCAATTGGCCCTAACTGCCCCCTCCCTGCCAGCCTGGTCACTCCTAACTGCCCCCCCCCACCAGCCTGGTTGCCCCTAACTGCCTCCCCTGCCGGCTTGATCACCCCCAACTGCGCCCCCTGCCTGCCTGGTCGCCCCTAACTGCCTCCCCTGCCGGCCTGGTTGCCCCAAACTGCCCCCCCACCAGCCTAGTCACCCCTCACTGCCCCCCCTGCCAACCTAATTACCCTCCAACTGCCCCCCTCTGCTGGCTTGGTGGTCCCAAACTGCCCCCCCTTCTGGCCTGGTCACCCCCAACTACACCCTCTGCTGGCCTGGTCGCCCCCAATTGCCCCCACCACCAGCGTGGTCACCCCTCACAGCCCCCCCCCGCTGGCCTGGTTGCCCCACGCAGCCTGCTGTTCAGTCATTTGATCATCCCTCACTAACCCCCCTGCCGGCCTGGTCGCCCCATGCAGCCTGCTATTCAGTCATTTGGTCGTCCCTCACTAACCCCCCTGCCAGCCTGGTCGTAGGCAGCCATCTTGTGAGGGCGTGGGGGTTAATTTGCATATCACCTCTTTATTATATAGGATCTTTCTGTCCTCTGGCCAATTGCTACAATAAGGCTCTACATAATTACCCATCTAACCACACACATTACCATTTCTATGACTTCCTATCATGGCATTCTCACCCTCATTTCTTCTTTTCCAGACACACTGACCTTTTTTCTATTCCTTGAACATTCCTAGCATGCTTCTAATATGAAGCCTTTGCATGTACTGTTCTCCCCTCTACCTAATGCCCTCTTCCCCCAGATACCCAAAGTGCTCACTATTTTAATTCCTTCAGGTCTTTGTTCAAATTCATGTTTATCAGATTACTTACATAAATTAGAAAATTTAGTCCATAATCTTGGCTCTCTCTATCCCCCTCACGCTGTTTTTTTTTCTCCCCAAGATTTACATCCATCAAATCTAGTATATATTATTTATCAGTGTTTGTTTATTGTCCCCATTGCCCTCATCCCAAACTAGAATGTAAGCTCCATGAGGGCAGGAATTTCATTTTGTTGATTGCTTAGTATAGTGCCTGGCACACACAGACTCTCAGTTAAGTACTTGATGAATGAGTAAATAAATAAAGTACTTTCTGTCCCTTTCTCCTTTGTGCTGAATTGTGGAAGATTTATGTCTTCATCTATTCCACTCTTCCATCACATCTACTCTGCCATTAAGCACATCTGCTGAGTTTTTAATATTTTTCATTAAAAAAATTTTAATTTCCAAAGACATTTGTCTGGCTACCATATCTGTTCAAATCTCTTTGAAGATATTAATTATATACACATATATACTTATGTGTCCTGATAAGTAGTCCATTAACTGTTTCATAATTGCTAGTTTTTTATTCGTAGTGTCATAATTCTTTTTCAAATGCAATGATTTTCATCAAATACTTGCCAATTCTGGGTTCTATACTTACTTTTGAATTTGTACCCCATATCTGTCTGGAAATACTGTATCTGCTCAACCCAGTCCATATCCAGTAGTTGTGGAGAAGAGGCAAGTCATGCTGCCAGGCAGTCTGTCAGTACCTGGTCTTCTGGGAATAAGGGCTCCTTCTTACAAGGTTTGCCCTCTCTGGGCACCATACTATCAACTCAAGGCCCCATAAGTGCTGCTCTCTTTAAAAAGGCACATGATGCAGGGGTTTCTAAGCAAACAAATGTCAACAGTACCCCAGGCCACTCTTCCACTGCCTATATTCACTGCTTCTGAGCTTAAAACACTATATACAGGGTGCATGGCAAAAGTAGGTTTACAGTTGTAAGTACAGGAAACACAGAATTTATTCTTGTATTATTATTTCTTAATTATTTTCCATATGAACTGCAAACCTACTTTTGCCCAACTATGTATAGTTCTATCTTCCAGGGATACTTTAAAACTTCTAGTCTATCAAAAGTACCCTTTTTGTCTTCCATTTACCACTGAAGATAATAAATAATATCTAGTATAACAAAAAATATGTATAAGCTTTGGAATCTGATGCCCCTATGTTCTAATCTGGCTAACTCACTATTTGGCTGTGGGAAATCGAAGAATTTACTTAACTACTCTGAGCCTAAGCTATTTTTCTGTTGAAACCTTAAATGAGATGAGTATAAAGTGCTCAATAAAATGGCCAGCACATAGTAAATACTCATAAACATTAACTACCTGACCCTATTGCCTAAATCAAGGTCAGCTACACCATGATTAAAATTAAGTAGTAAATTCCATAATTCTAGGTTAACATATTTTACAATTAATCTTTCATTAAGATTTCTGATTATAAGTTTCCAACATACATGTATAGAAGTAAAGACTTCTGAGTTATCTGACAGAGGGACAGCTCTCTTCCCTAAAGTCTAAAAGTTGGCTATTGAAATAGTTATCAAAAGTGTAAGTTCATAAAAACAGGTCTTCTTTAGAAAGAGTAAAAATCTATGCTTTTATTAGGTCACACTAAAACTAAAAAGCGTGTCAGCAGTATCCCCAAGAGTGATGCTTAGCACAATATTAAATCCAGTGAAATAAGACGAGCCATAAGGGCAAAACAATAAGCAATGGAGACATCATTGTTGCTGGAACAATAGCGTACAGTACTTCATTTCTGAAAACTACAGAATAGAAGTCATGAAAGAATTCTCCACTATGTCAGTCATCATATTTCCTTTAAAAAAAAAAAAGGCTTAAAAGTCTCATTTGCAAGTAGCAAAATAAAAGGAGTTTTATTTGAAGTTGAGTGTTTTATTATTAAACTTTCCTATTTTCCTACAAGACTGTTGCTTCAATGTATAAAAACAGCACCAGTAAACACAGTATATTATAAAATTAAGTATTGTTCATCATTTGACACTGTAAGGACTACCAAAAACTTTCTCCACTGCCAGTCATTTTCAGTGGAAATATCATTAAGTATTTTGACCCAAATCCAGAGACCGATTTAAGGAGTTATAATCCTATCTAATAAAGAGGGAATATGCTAATTGACACCTTTGCAAAGATGGGGGCACCCACAGCCAATAAGGAGGGAATATCCTAAGTGACTGCCACGCCCTCAAAGATGGCGGCGCCCACAGCCACAAGATGGCTGGCAGGGAAGGGCAGTTGTGGGCAATCAGGCTGGCAGGGGAGGGCAGTTAAGGGCAATCAGGCCAGCAGGGGAAGACAGTTAGGGGTGACTAGGCCTTCAGGGGAGGGCAGTTGGGGGCGACCAGGACTGCAGGGGAGGGCAGTTGGGGGGGACCAGGCTGGCAGGGGAGGGCAGTTGGGGGTGATTGGGCCGCAGGGGGGTGGTTAGGGGGTGATCAGGCTGGCAGGCAGAAGCAGTTAGGGGCAATCAGGCCGGCAGGCAGGCGAACGGTTGGGGGCCACCAGTCCCGGATTGTGAGAGGGATTCCAGATTGGAGAGTGAGCAGGCTGGGCTGAGGGACACCCCCCCACCACCACCCAATGCACAAATATCGTGCACCAGGCCTCTAGTATTATATAAGGTTTAAGATAACAATGTTATCCTTGAATTACATAAATTTTATAACTAGATTTTACCACAGATAATTCCAGGAATTCTGAATATTATAACTGTAGCCCAGCCTAAAAATCATAGGGTGTTCTAAAAAGATGCATATTATGTTTATCTGCAATCATTAAAAAGTTAGGGGCATTTTCTTCCAGTAGCATTTTTGTAGTTTCTTTTTCCATTGGTATTACTAAAAACTGCTATTTTAAATCTCCTATCCACCACTAATTTCTGACAACTATGCTAGACCAAGTTGTTTCATGCTACTTTATTTTGGGGGGGGGGGGGGTCGTCCATTTTCACTCCTCAATACTTTTTATGCATTTCACACATGTTTCTTCACTCATTAGTTCATCTTGTTCTGAAGGGTTACTCAGTGTCAACTTGATCTGCCAACCATCTTCATAATAAGCTTTGTTGGTAAGTCCTGGATTTTCTAGAGCTTCATTAATTTCAGTTATTTCTTCTGACAGAAGAGAACAGGATTCGCTAGCAGCTGTCACACTTTCCAAAGCACTACATTCATCGTTTGTTCAATTTTGTCCCAATTTCAGGCAGAGTACAGTATATAACATCTCCCAAAGCTTCCTGTGCAAAATTGCTGACTCCCACTGTTCTAATATCATTTTCTGTTGTTATCCATTCATGTTTCTCTGTGAATTTACACAGGGAAAGTAGACTGGGGCTGGTGCACAGCATCCTGACAGCACGAGCCTTCAGACCCCCTGGCCTCCGTGGTTAGGGCGTGGCAGGTGCAAGTTCTGCGCTGCAGGTAACACCATGTTCACAGGAGTCTATTTTATTTATTAATCTGATGTTATATTTCAAAACTATCCATGAGAAAAATAAATTTTGTGGTAGAATAAAACATTGTTTTTTATAAATATTTGCCGGAGGCCGGTCCATCCTTGTTGCTTGACACAGTCACTGCAGGGAAGAAACATCTGCACAGCATATGTTTCAAGGGACCTGGCATACTGTTCTTAATATGTTTGCTCCCCTTCTTAGCGCTATGTGTTGTAACCAAGGCCACCTCCCCCAGAAAGGTTGTTTCCCCAGGTGGGGATTTTTCCCTGGAGTTAGGGATTAACAGGACTAAGGAAGGGAATAAATCAGTAAAACCCCTTAACTAAGTACCAGGTGGGTAGTTAATCACCTTAACTACGAACAATCACGCTTAAGTTACATAATCTTTACTTAGGATAATCTCCTTCAGTTACTTCCTTGTAGCTTAACAGAACAGTAGAGTAGTGACCTTGGAATGGAGATAACAAATGCCCTAACCTTTGGAATTGAATGGATAGGATTAAAATCAAATGGTATAAATACAGATGTAACAGGAGAATAAAGAGAGAACCTGGCTAGAGAACCTGGCTATGCTGATCACCTGAACTGCCTCTATGTCATTTCTTCTTTGCCGACTCCATTCACATCTTTGGGAACCCCTGGACCGCTGGGGCTGGACCCCAACAAATATTTACCTGATTGAATGGATAGATAAAAGACTTGTAAAAATTTATGCCCTAGCTGGTTTGGCTCAGTGGATAGACCATCCATCTGTAGACTGAAGGGTTCCGGGTTTGATTCCAGGTCAGGGCACATGCCGGGGTTGTGGGCTCGGTTCCCAGTGTGGGGCATGCAGAAGGCAGCTGATCAATGATTCTCTTTCATCATTGATATTTCTATATCTCTCCCTCTCTCTCGTCCTCTCTGAAATCAATAAAAATACATTTAAAAGTCAAAACAAAACAAAAACCTGATCTTTAAAAAAAAAAATTTTAGTTAATAAAAGGCACAAATATCTCAAACAGCTTGATCTGGAAAAGTAACTTAAGCCCTAGCTGGTTTGGCTCAGTGAACAGTGTCGACCTACGGACTGAAGGATCCCGGGTTCAATTCTAGTCAAGGGCACATGCTGGGGTTGTGGGCTCAATCCCAGTAGGGGGCATGCAGGAGGCAGCTGATCAATGATTCTCTCTCATCATTGATGTTCCTATCTTTCTCACCCTCTCTCTTCCACTCTGAAATCAATAAAAATATATTTAAAAAATTTTAACTTAACTACTTAAGTTTCAATAAATTGAATTCTTTTTTAATAATAAAATTACTCATCAATAACTATCCATGATTTCCCAAAAGAATTAGACTACAAATTATTTTAATTATATACTATCAGTTATTAGCGATCTATGATAACATGGAAATATTATCTCCACAAACCTATCTACACTAATAAAAGAGAAAGATGCAAATTGACCATACCTTTGAGACGCCCACCGGCCAATCAGGAGTGAGTATGCAAATTACCCAACAAAGATGGCAGACTAATTTGCATATGCAGGTGCCGAGCAGCCAGGGGCAGGACACTTGCGTTCCGCATTGCCCCAGCCGCTCCGGGCCTCTGGGCAGCATGGGAAGGCGGAAATGTGGCTCTGGGCTAGAGTGAAGGCGGAAAGGCGGCTCCAGCGGGAGCAAAGGTGGTGCCAGCAGCCAGGGGAAGGAAGGCCCATTCTTGCACGAATCTTCGTGCATCTGGCCTCTAGTTATTTTATAAGAAAAGTAAGTAAAAGTAATTGTGGAACTCCTAGAGAGAAGACATCTAGCTGAAGACATCCTTTGCTTCTTCAGCTATTTGTTTAAAGAAATTTTCAGGTTTCATAATTATTATTCATTTACCTTAATCCACTTATAGATCCTACTTAGTATTTTTAAATGCTATAATAAACATATAACTTACTTTCTGATCACAATTGCCCAGTCTTCTGTATAACTTCTTATACAATCTCTAACATGTGGATCCATTTCACTATTTTAAAAAAGAAAACATTTGTAATTTAGACAGAAAAGCAGTGATGTTGTGAATTTGGTTGCTATAGCTCTATGTTTGTATAACAGAAAATAACCCCACCATAAGAAATAGGATATAAATCAAATAATGGATCATAGCCTTTCTGTAGTTACTGAAACCAAAAATAGGTTAATGTTTCCTTACCTTTCTTCAGGTACAGCTGAAACAAGGGTTCTGCAGTCCCTAGGACTATGAACAACTTCAATATCATCTGGAGGGAATTCAACCAACTCCCTTAAAGGCCCAGAATCCACACCTAAAGGATGAGTAGCAAGGTACTCTTCCAAATCCACTGCATCCACTGCTTCTGTAAGGGGCACCTTTATAAAGGGGGGGTGGGGAGGGAGGTGGTAGGGGATAAGAGGTGAATGGAAAGGAAGAGGCAAATGTTAAGAATTTTAAAACTTTAAGCAAATAATTTTTATTCTTTAAAATATAATAAGTTTTAACCTAATTACTTCTACATTGTCAACAGATGCACTAAAGAAACTACGAGGTTTTGGGTTATAATCTCTTTAATCCCCTTGCTTAGACTTTATCCATGCCTCTCATGTAAAGCCAGCAATGATCATTAACAGTTTATAATACTTTACAGTGACAAAATGCTCACTGAGGAATTCTTTTTTCTTTTTTATATCTTTGGAATTTTCATTTCTGAGTTTCTAAATAGTACTTTTATTTTATTTGTTGCTATTGTTGATTATCCTAGTAAAAACATATAACCAGACTGTGGTAAGCTAAAAAATGGCCCTCCAAAAGATCTCCCTGTACCAATCCATGGACCTTTCATGACAAAAAATTAAGATAGCCCTAGCCAGTTTGGCTCAGTGACTAGAGCGTCAGCCTGCTGAAAGGTCCTAGGTTCGATTCTGGTCAAGGGCACGTGCCTGGCTTGCCACAGTAGGGTGCGTGCAGGAAGCAGCCAATCAATGATTCTCTCTCATCATTGATGTTTCTCTCTCTTTCCCTTTCTGAAATCAATAAAAGAAATATTTAAAAAATAAATAAAAATAAAAGGTATGATCTATAATGTGGACATTATCCTTAATTATTTGAGTGAGTCACAAATGCAATCATATACAGCTTTATATGAAGACAGTAAGAGTTGGGCCACACAGAGGAGAAAACCATATGAAGACATAACAAAGACAGATCTGAAGATTCTGGCCTTAAAGATAGAAGTGATGCAGTTATAAGCAGCCATAAGAATCTGGAAGAGGCAAGGAACTAATTCTTTTCTAGATCCTCCAAAGGGAGTGAGGCCTTGCCAAAACCTTGATTTCAGTCCATTGATGCTGATTTGGACATAAGCACTGTAAGGAAATAAATTTATTTTGTTTTAAGCTACCCAATTTGTGGTAAGTTATCACAGCAGCCAAAGGAAACTAATTCACAGACCACATTAAAAGTTTCTATTAGTAATAACAGAATATTCAGGGCATTCCTTAGCCAAGTTGAAAATATACTTTTTATTAAGACACCCAACTTCTTTTCTGATTCAAGAAAGAAAAAATATTCAGGCAAAACTATAAAGGATTATATAACAAATGTACAGATGTGGACCATTGGTGTTCTGAAAAAAATACAAAAACACACAGAATTACCATATGATGTACCAATTTCACTTCTATATATATACCCCAAAAAACTGAAATAAAGACTCAAACTGATTTTGCACACTCATGTTCATAGCAGCATTATTACCCATAGCCAAAAGATGTAAACAACTCAATGTCTATCAACTGATGAATGGACAAACAAAATGTGGTTTACACATACAATGAAATATTATTCAGCCTTTGAAATGATAACACACTAGAGGCCCGGTGTACGAATTCATGCACAGGTGGGGTCCCTCAGCCTGGCTGGCAACTGGGGCCAGGGAGGGACCGTGGGAGGTTGGCCGGCTGGCTGGGGAGGGACCGCGGGAGGGGTCCAAGGCGTGTCTGGCCCTCTCACCCAGTCCCAATCTGCCAGAACCCAGCAGCAACCTAACCTACCGGTCAGAGCATCTGCACCCTGGTGGTCAGTGCACGTCATAGGGACTGGTTGAGCAGTCGACCGAATGGTCGGCCAATTGGTCAGATACTTAGCATATTACACTTTTATTATATAGGCTGATACAACAAGGATGAACTTTGAAGACATTATGCTGAGTGAAATAAGCCAGATACAAAAGACAAACATTGTACAATTCCACTTATATGAGGTACATAGAATAGACAGATTCAGATATAGAAAACAGAGGTTACCAAGGATTGAGAGGAGAGAGAATAGGGAATTATTGTTTAACTAGAGGCCCTGTGCACAAAAATTTATGCACTGGTGGGGGGGGGGGATGTTCCTCAGCCAGACCTGTGCCCTCTCACAGTCTGGGACCCCTCGGGAGATTACCACCTGCTGGCTTAGGACTGCTCCCCGGGTGGCAGATGGCAGGCTCTATCCCAGGGTGCCTGCCCGGCCTCCCCGGGTTGCCCACGGCAGGCCCGGATGGAGGCGGGGCAGGCAGCAGATGGCGCTGCCCCACCCCGCCTGCAGTATGCAAATTTAACGGCCATATTTGTTGGGTTAATTTGCATACTCTTCTGATTGGCTGATGGGTGTAGCGAAGGTATGGTCAATTAGCATCTTTGTCTTTTATTAGTGTAGATGGGTATATGGTTTCATTTTGGGATAAAAAATTTCTGGAAATAGCTAGTGGCAATAGTTGCACGACACTGTGAATATACTTAATACCACTGAATTATACATTTAGAAATGAGTTGGTAAATTTTATGTTATGTATATCTTAACACCAGATAGATGTATAGATAAAAAATTTTTAAAGAACATTTTTTAAAAATTGAAGTCAATGCTTCTCCACCCAGGTATTCTTTTGGGGACAGTATAATTTTTAAGATTTAAAGTATCACAAATGAATATTCAATGAATATAATGACAAAAGTTGGGAGACCTTACACATGTCTAATTCAAAATTAATCTTTCCTCAGAATACCAACCGTATCAAGAGTAAGTTTTAGGCCCTAGCCAGTCTGGCTCAGTGTACAGAGCGTTGGCTCTGTGGACTGAAGGGTCCCGGGTTCGATTCCGGCCAAGGGTACATGGTCTGGTTGCGGGCTCTATCCCCAGTAGGGTGTGTGCCGGAGGCAGCCAATCAATGATTCTCTCTCATCATTGATGTTTCTATCTTTCTCTCCCTCTCCCTTCCTCTCTAAAATAATTTTTTTTAAAAAAAGAGTTTAGGGTAAGTGTCATAGGAAGCTATGACACTCTCTTAAAAACATTAACTCATACAGAGGATAATTGGTCTTGTTTCTATAATTCATAGAGGAGGTCAATGGCTTTCTAGGTGTAATGTTAGCTAAATCAAGGAAACAAATTTATTTCTGCTATAACTATCTCCATTCCCTCTGATGCCCATGGGGAGACAGCAGCCTGGGTTAGTCTTGGGATGTAGTGTGAGCTCCTTACAACTATAAATTATTTTACAAGATTCCAAAGAAAGATCCTGTATTCACTGACAAAAAGAAGGAGATTGCAACATGATTTTATAAGAGAGAGTGAATGATGGGGCAGTAAGCAGGGTTAAAGGGTGACAAAGAGAAGTAATAGGGAAGCACTAGAGAAACTCTCATAGTCAATGTGAGAACTTGTCTAACTTCAGCAATCATTGCACTGGAATTTTGGCTGACATGTTTATTTTATTTTTATTTTTATTTTGGCTGACATAGAGTAAAGATCTCTTTCAATCCTTGGCAGCATGCCATCAGAACTTCTGGCATTTAATTAGTGGTTGTTTGGGGCTGACAGAAAGGGGGTAAGAAGGTGATAGCTAAAGGATTGTTTTGTTTTTTCTTTGAGGTGATAAAAATATTCTAACTTGACTGTAGCAATGGTTGCACATATCTACAAATATATTAAATCCATTGAATTGTACATTAAATGGGTGAACTTGTATGGTATGTAAATTAAATTTCAATAAAGCTGTTTTAAAAAGTTGAGCCAGAATCTAATCAGTTACAGGAAATACAGAAGTAGAAAAACAAGTCTACAAGGAAAAAATTTCAAAAAAGCTGCACAGAATCTAATCAGTTACAGGAAGTACAAGAGATAGAGAAATAAGTCTACAAGGAAGCAAACATAAAATCTAAAAGGCAAGAAATACTACAAGACAACTAACCCAATTTCCTCAACAAGTCAATGGCATAAAAACAAAGTTAAAATTTCAGAATTGATTAAATCCTGAATGTAGTTTCAGAATTGACTAGGAAATCAACACTTCTATATCTACTAACACTCTCCCCCAACTCAAATTTCAGGAAAGAGTGAGGAAACAATAAATAAGGTTATGAAACTATTGATGCTATCCAATCTACTGGCTCCTATCTTTCCACTATTTTTTCATGGCCTAGTTAGTAATATACCAGTAACATACCATATCCATATTTTAAATATGCTACTTACTGTGGTATGATGGGATATATTGCCAACAATGTTGAGGTTTTTAAGCAGTTGAGGGGAACCACTGTACTGCCCAGAGATCTGCTTCCTAACTTCAGCAGCCACAGTTCTATAACAAAGAAAGCAAATACATTATTTTTAAAAAGAAAACAAACTAGGTTTAAAAAGGTAAGTATACTAAAGACTCATTTGAAAAACAACAAAACCTCAGCATGTCAATAAGACTATAAATTTATAAGGTATCAGTAAATACTGCTTACAATTACAGAAGAACATCTTTATAATGCTGATGTAGGGTATAAGACTGACAGACAACTTACATAAGGCTTTTTTCATATATGGCATATCAGGGAATATACTTGGGCTTACGATAGAGCTAGAAGCTATAAATATATGCATACATTAAAGTATATATTTTAAGGATATAAAATTAATTCTAAAATATTTGATTAACAAATTAACATATAAGAATTAGGAAGAGCCGAAACCGGTTTGGCTCAGTGGATAGAGCGTCGGCCTGTGGACTGAAAGGTCCCAGGTTCTATTCCGGTCAAGGGCATGTACCTGGGTTGCGGGCACATCCCCAGTAGGAGATGTGCAGGAGGCAGCTGATCGATGTTTCTCTCTCATCGATGTTTCTAACTCTCTATCTCTCTCCCTTCCTCTCTGTAAAAAAATCAATAAAATATATTTAAAAAAAAAAAAAAAAGAATTAGGAAGAAAAAAAAACCCTCTTTTTTCCTTTCTAATATTATTAGCTCTTCATTCATGCTCCAGAAAACTATTCCCTGTTTTTCTTAACTACTAAAAAATGTCATTATACTTTCATATTAATAGCTTTCCATACTCCAAGCCTAAGCACCTTTCCCAAATTCTTGTCATTGAACTTAAATTGCTTCCTAGAACACTGTTTCTCTCCTGTATCCACAAATTCTATTTTACCCTTACTAGTTTTAAGGGTGAAACTTAAATTCCAAGACCTCCATACAACAAACTTCTTGACTCACTATAACTAAAAATATCACCCTTCTTTAAAAGCCTTTTATCATAACATGAGCATGTATCATAACCTAACTTGCACTTTCCTCCTATTTATTTTTCCATGTGTCATGTACAATCTATATAAACAGAGGCAGTGGTTTCATTTTTTTTTTTTGTTTTCCCTAAAATATTTAACAAATGGTACTCAAAACAGCTGTATGTTCAGCCCTATGAAAAATATAGTATTACTTATTGACAATGAAGTAAACCACTAAGGCATTACCATAACGTAACCTGACAGGTAAGTCTTTATTTTGAATCAGGATTAGAGTTTAGAAGTTCCACAAATTCAAGCCAGTTTTGACCCTTGGGGGCATACTAGTATATAATATATTTACTTAAATAGCATTTCTAAAACAAAATATTTTAGATATTCAAGTGACTTTATAGCTCATATCTATATTCCTTAGATTCCAAAAAACTCTAAACCAAAATATTCAGCGAATCCTAAATCCTGTAACTAAACAACTTCTTCACATTAGTAATATTTTTATTAAGTAGAAAATATAACTCAGCAATACAAAATAAAGACCACTATCCACAGTTTTTATGCAATTATTTTCCTGGTGTCAATGCCTAACTTCTACCCTATGAGCATCAATCAACTGGCCGATTCTCTATTTTATAAAACTTGCCTGCTCTTCTTTCACTCTTTCGTCCTATCATTTCCATAGCACATAAAGTGAAACAGGCTTCATGACCTGGTTTCTGGATGATACTTTTGAACAGCCTGATGATACTTTTGTTCTGAAGGGTTTTGAAGCTCAGAGCCCTGAACATCTTGGTCCTCATTCAAATTTCCAGCTAAATTTCTAAACATCTCATTTTCTAAAAATTATCCAGATATTTTATATAACCTTTTCCCCTTCTCCTCATTTCATATCTCCTTGCTTTTTTATATATTCAATCATTCTACACACATTTATTGAACATTGTTATAAGCCAACTACTCATAACAGAAATTTTTGATATAATGTAAAAGAGCTATCATTCTTTAAGGTTCAAGATACTGAACTGCCTCAACTCTTTTTTCTATGGGTAACTTAAGGTACTTTAGATCACAGTTGTGTTTTATAAAAGGCTAATTCATTATTCATACTTGCCAAAACTTGGAAGTAACCAAGATGTCCTTCAATAGGTAAACTATAATATAGCCCATACAATTGAATATCATTCAGCAATATTTTAAAAATATCCTATCAAGCTATAAAAAGATATAAAAGAATACTGCTAAGTGAAAGAAGCCAATCTAAAAAGGCTACATATGATTTCAACTATATGATATTCTAGAAAAGGCAAAACTACAGTAACAATAAAAAGGTTAGTGGTTGCCAGGGAGTGCAGGGGGTCAGAAAAGGAAGGGATGCGTAAGTAGTGCACAGGGGACTTTTCGGGTGGTGAAACTATTCTGTATGATACTATAATGGTAGATAAATGTCATTATACATGTCAACACCTATAGAATGTACAACACAAAGAATAAGATGTAATCTATGGGCTTAATAATAATGTATCAATTTTGGCTCATCAATTATGATAAATGTACCACACAAATGCAAGAAGTTATAACAGAAGAAACTTGGTAGGGAAGTTTCTATATGAGAACTACATGGGAACTCTATATTTTCTCCTCAATTTTCTGTAAATCTAAAACTGCTCCCCCAAAAACTCAATTAAACAAAATAAGTAAATAAGCAAACAAGGTTAACTCAGAACAGACACAGGAGGAAGAAAAGAACATGAAGACAATAATTATAGGTTAGAAATGAAAACTAGATAAGGAATGAAATCTTTAAGAAGGGTAATACAGATTGAAGAGAGGGCCAAGGGCAAATCTGTACACTTCTGGATATGAAAAGATAAGAACATTCATTTCAATTCAAAGGTTCCCTGGTGGTCTAGTGGTTAGGGTTCGGCGCTCTCATTTCAATTCAGGACTCCCCTTTGCCCTTTTAATGAAACTACATGTTTGGAGTGTTTATTAAGTTTAGTTGAAAGGCCTTATAATCTCCTGATCCTTTTGTCAAGATGAGAATATGAAGAAACCTTCAAAAAGAGACAAAGAACGAATATTCTATGTCTATCTTCTTCAGTGTTACTCAACTCACTATGCCCTTACCTCACTGTTTCTGGGCCTACACCATGAATAATCTAATGTGTAAATGCTATTTCATCAAATTAATGATGTCACTAATGGGTTAAGTAGTGCGATTACTTCATGTATATCTAAGAAAGAAAATTCTTGCCAATTAACCATCACACCATCAATTAATTGGAAGACATACCCTGATTTCATATGTTAAGAAGTGAAACTTGAAATAAAGGAAATGAGTATTTCAGAAAGAGAATCTTTTCATACCAGACATACAAAAAATAATCCCCACTTTACAAATATTTGTCTTATTTCTGTATGACATAATTTTCCCAAAAAAAGAAAATTGATAACTGAAAATAAGAACCATTTCCAAACTGAGCTATAACAGCAATATCTGCAACCCAGACAGGGGATGTATTTACAATGAGATCTCTGTATAAAAAGACTTCATTAAATAGCAACTAGGAATTTTTCCCAAATAAAAAACAGTATCTCTTAACCATACTATGGTGCAGAGTATGCAAGACAAGAAATGTGATGAATACAGTTCTTGATAACAGTTAAAATACTTTATCAGATTACTTTTTCTGACAATTTTTGCTATACTTAGTGATAACACATATAGTAAAGCAATAAGGAAGTCCTATGTACTTCTAATAAGCTATTAACATCAACTGCAAAGTGGAAAGAAGAGTAGGTCAGAAATCCCCTAATTACTTATGCTCCTAATTTAGAATATCTTCTTCCCCTCCCAAAAGAACATGATCCAATATTTGACTTATTGGTCTCCTTATCAACTCTCTCTGCCATAGGATGTTGGAAATAACCAACACAAGACCCACATTCTGAGGGAAATTAATGTTGCATTTAATCTTTCCTCTAACCTCCTCTCATTTTCAGATGCGCCATCCAGCCATGACTTCCAGAATGACCCAAGGATAATAGGCTAATCTGGGTCTCTCATTGCCAGTCAGCCTGAGTAAAGTGAATAAGGAGAATTTAGACTAAAATAAAAGCACTTAGTTGAGCCATTTCTTTAATGTCACAAAAAATAGCTGCAATGTAACATGTCAAATAAGAGAACAAGACCTCTTGGAACTGGCACTGTTTATATCTAAGATAGAAGTCAGGGAAAAAGAGAAGGGTAAGAGAATATACCACAGAATATACGAGGTAAGAAAGTATATCAAAGGCAAGGCAAAAAAGGGCTAACTAAAAATCTCCAAAAGAAAAAGGACAAAATAGCTGATGATGTCCCAGTGCTGTGACTATCAAAGTCAAAGACTGGGGGGGGGGGGGGGGGGGGGGGAGGCAGGCAGGCAGGCAGGCAGGCAGGCAGGCAACAAATGGTTCTTGGACACTGGTGTGAAGAAACCAGCTATAAAAACCATTTCTGGGATTAATGAGATATTTGAACACAGAGAAGCAAGGTATTACATAATTAAGAATTACTGGTTTGTTTACTTTTAATGTGTGAAAACAGTATTAAGTGTGCAAGAAAATGTCCTTATATTTTAGAGATACAAATGATTTAGCTTAGACTCTTTAGTTATTATTACTCTGGCTTAATGAGGAAAACTAGCAAATTAAATATGAAGTACAGATGGGGCAAATACCCTTCAATCAGTGTATCACGGCCTCCATAAAGCCCTGCCTGATTATTTCTATTCTATTTCACTTAGGTAAGACACTCCTTTGTGCTTTCCAAGCACTCTGTGTTTATCCATATACGTTCAAAGAAATGGAGTTCCTAGGAGGCTAGTTCAGACAGGCAGAGTAGCCAGACTGCTTTTCACCGTAGTATACAAAGAATCTGGCCTTGTTGACACAGAATTTGATTTCAACAGTAGGAAAGCCTGGTTTATAAACATTCTCTTTAAAAAGAAGCATATAAATTGCAAAGTCAGTTTTTCTTAAATAGTTGTGATGCAACCCTCAACTATAAAATTCGGTGGAAAAGAAAAAGGTACAAT